GGTTAACTATGGCTATAGGCGGACCCCTCTCTGCGCTAGTCATCAAACGATTTGGACATAAAATATCGAAAACAAGAATTAGAAAAATATTTGAATCGATTGCACTCATAGGACCGGCTATTTGTTTGGCCATAATTACGGGAATGGGATGTAATTCGACAGCAGTGGTGGCACTACTTATTACTGCATTATTTTTGTATGGATTGTTTACTGGCGGGGAGTTTGTCATATATGGCGAGATCGCACCCGACTATTCGGGAACAGTGTTTGGTATTGCGGGCACATTGGGTGCCATACCTGGGTTTGTGGCCCCATATGCTGTCGGTGTTATTCTTGGAGATAGTGTGAGTATTAATGATAATTTATTTTATAAACTGTAAACACATATTAGGAAGTTACATAGTGTAAGTAAATTCATATAAACTTACTGGTTACTGTTATTCTTATGAAAATGTGATTGATTTAAATTATGGCACACCCCCCACACAATTATGGTTAATTAAGTATTTTTTAAATTATTAAAAATATATTTTCATATAAAATCAAATAGGATATTTTATAGTAGATTTAAAATGATCATAATTTTTACTAGTTGGTATTAGAATAATTTATTTTATAATTATTTTTTTAAACATTTTTTTAAAACTGTAAATTCACATATCTGGTAATAATTATTCATAAAATATTTAAACTTGGCCATAAATAGTTATAAATTATAACTTATAATTATTATGTAAGTAATAGCTCGCCTAAACAGATAACTGTGTTTATATTATTAATTAGCCTGGTGAGTTGCATCGTTGGAATACCGTGTTCTACATCACAATAGGTCTGTACATATTGGGTGCCCTGGGATTCGAGTTGTTCGCATCGGCAGACCCACAGCCATGGGGTCTCATCCAGAGGGAGGGGTCACCGAAAGCACCAAAACATACGTGTCATGACAAACATTGCGAATATCAATGCAAACACTGAATATTTCATAAATATACTCATCATTGTAGAAATTTCATACCAGTCCTATCTATTTTTTGTTATCAATCTATAATATTAATCTATTAACTTATATGTTTTAATGAGATGTTCTTGATATACTTTTATTATAAAATTATAAATTATTCATGATGTACCTACAAGTTAGTTTGTAAGGGCTAATATATTTTTATAAAGGGATTGAAATTTTTATTATTTAAATAAATTTCGTACTTTACAGTGTATTTAATTTAAATGCACTTAGTTTACACTTTGTCACCATTTAATCGCATAAAAACTTGATTAATATAACATTGATGTAATTAAAATGCAATAAATTGTATGCCAAAGTTTCTTATTTATTGGCATAATAGTGCCAGGCTATATAAAACAAATTGTCATTAAATAAGCTCATATGACCACAGAATACTGTATAACCTGAGATAATAACTGAAATAACTATTTGATGATAATAATAGGTGCCAATTATGGTAACAATAATAATACTCGTCTCACACAACAAACATTGTCTAAAATGACAGAATATTGTCATCATTTTTAAGTCAATTAAATGAAAGCAATTATCATTTGCTGAGTGAATATAGTGATGGCGATTGGCTTAAGACTAGTGATCGGAGTGTTGGGTGCGGTAGCGGTCGGTCTGTTCTCATCGCACAGATCCAGTCTCAGTGTCGCCATTGTGTCGATGGCTAAGTATAATAGCAGTGCTACGGGTGTGAGAGATGACAGTGATGAGGGGCAGTGTTGGCTACAGTCTGGCAATAATGGGAACAGTAGTTCACAAAACAGTAACCCTATTATTAGGGGTGAATTTGATTGGAGTGAATCACTACAGGTATGCTTCTCTCTCTCTCTCTCTCTCTCTCTCTCTCTGATAAAAAAATCATTTTATTTAATGTTTTAACTATTTAAAGGTTTATAAATTAAAATTTAAATTAATTGTACATTGTATATTGTCAACACTTTATATTAAAATAAAAGTAATAATTATTTACAACTTTTTAAAGTTATAAAAGTTTTAGATTAGATAAGGTTGAATAACAGTAATGAGTCAAATATTAATATAGGTATAATAGCTATGATATATTGAAATAATGTTATTTGTATTAATATCACATTATGATAAAAGAGTTCACTATTTGTGACAAATCAATAGCACCTGTACCTGTAGTCAAGTAGTCAACCTGTTTGCTCTACATATGCCGCTTTATTAGAAGTGGGCACATGTAGGTCGTGATCGTATAGTGGTTAGTACCTTGCGTTGTGGCCGCAATAACCCAGGTTCGAATCCTGGTCACGACACTGTTCATTTTTGTATCTAGTCTATATTTTACTTTATTAAAATCGTTTTGATTATTTGTCACTAAATATTAACTTTTATGAAAAGTAACAATAATTTAATAGATAAAACACATGTCATTTATAATTTTGAATTTACAATCTACGGTACATGTACAATTTAAATGTTTGAATATTGTATGAATTTTAGTAAAATGCACCTAAAATTAGAAGTATATTAGTTCGAGAAATCTATTGATTTATAAATTGATGTAAAAACGTAAGCAAATTATTTACGAATAAAATAATTATTTATAATATTGTTCATTTATTGACCAGGGTGTTATATTAGGCGCCAGTTTTTACGCCTACTTAATAACGCCGACAATCGCCGGCAGAATCACCGANTTGATGTAAAAACGTAAGCAAATTATTTACGAATAAAATAATTATTTATAATATTGTTCATTTATTGACCAGGGTGTTATATTAGGCGCCAGTTTTTACGCCTACTTAATAACGCCGACAATCGCCGGCAGAATCACCGAAAGGTTTGGTTCAAAATGGGTGACCGCTGTCTCACTCACAGTACCGGCGATTCTGTTAGCGCTGATACCGACCGCCGCGCGCCTACACGTCGGCGCTCTCATCGTAGTACTCGTAATAATGGGTTTATTTCACGGATGTATATTCACATCCCTGTTCTCACTGTTCGCCCACTGGTTCACAGCACCGGAGCGTACGATTGCCATCGCATGCCTGGCCGCCGGTCAGAACGTCGGCAATTTAATTACCTATCCATTGGCCGGTTATCTGTGCGACAGGGGGTTTGCCGGGGGCTGGCCGTCAGTGTTTTACGTGATAAGTGTGGCACACATTCCGTGGATTATATTATGGATAGTTTGTGTGGAAAACACACCTCTTATTAGCAATACTAAGGGTTTCACGAAATGCTCGGACGAAGAGCTCAAATATATTTACTATAATAAGAGTTCGTTCGGAGCGCCGGAAGTATGTGTTCATTGAGTATTGAACTTGTTTTTCATGAATTGTAAGTTTAATTAATTTTCATTAGAAGTCATCGTCTGCCCCGTGGAAAAGTATATTCACCTCCCGGGCCGTGTGGGCAGTCCTTATTGGCAAAGTGTGTGCCAGTTGGGGCTATTTCCTCTATCAGACTAAACTGCCATCTTACGAACTATTTCAAGGCACTCTAGTATTCAGGTAAAATATATTTTTGTTAAAATTAATTACATAAAAAGTATTTGACATTTGGGTAGATCGTCGAAATATAAAACGTAAATTTACATCAGTTTTTGAAAAATATATTGGAGAATTTTCTAACATTCAATGTATATGTTGTTTTTTTTGTAAAATTTTGCTCATTTTACTAAATTTAAGTTAACTTAAACCGTTATCTATAATAATTATTTATTTATGAATGCACAGGTTTTTGGCGTATCACTACTCAATAACGGACTATTCAATGCCATGACATCCCTGGCAGTGGCTGTGACCATGGCTTTAGGCGGACCCTTATCTGCGTTTATAATCAAACGGTTTGGACACCGATTGTCGCGCACGAGAATCAGAAAAATATTTGAAACAACAGCCCTTATCGGACCGGCAGTATGTCTGGCAGTAATTACGGGAATGGGATGTAATGCCAACGGAGTGGTGGGTCTACTCATAACCGCACTGTTTCTGTACGGCTTTGTGACGGGCGGAGAGTTTTCCATTTACGGCGAGTTTACGCCTGATTTCTC